TACAGTAAATAATGAATAGTTACAATAAAAAAATGACGATATTCTCAAACTAAATAAAATGAAGAGTTACTTTTAGGAAAACTACGTACTTACGTTGCAATCTTAGATTTTTGCCCCAATTATTGTGTTTTGTATTATCCTGAATTGCTTATTTCACAATTAATATGTTTTGTGTTTTAATGTGTATTCTATATGATATAAATTTGGATAAATGAAATGAAGAAATCGAACATTACAGCGTTTGATATTGTATTACCTGGTACATATTTTTCTTTCAGATGTAAGGACGTGTAATTCGCCCGCAAAGGAGGAAAAACGTTATGCCGTTTATATCATCATTGCATTGGCTATCGTGGCCTTTATTGCAATTATCATCATTGTTTTTGTTGTCTCGTTTAGGAAAAAACAACGAAGTTCCTATGAGAAAATGAATTGATAAGCGGGTAATCCGAGGTGCCTCAGACTCTAACCCCTGCTTTTTATATTGTGACATGTGCAGGGGACCCCTGCACATTTCATAATATAAAAAGCAGGGGTTAGAGTCAGAGGAATCTCGGGTTAATAAGGGAGGGAAAATGTATTTATGGTCATGTGTGACAAAGTCTCAATTTTTTATGCCTCCACAATCAAAGATTTGGAGGCATACATATTTTTCCTGTCTATCCGTCTGTCTGTCTGCAAAAACCTGGACCTTATTAACTTTCGATTTTAGTTGGAGCTATGCCTTTCATATTTTCTCAGTATATATTTCTAGAGACAAGACCATTCTCGGGTAGCAACATATTTAACGTCTTAACTATGGAGTCTGAATCATTTTACAAAAATTTTTTTTTACTAAACTTTTGTTTTGGAAGATTTGTGCTAGGGCTTTCATAATTCACATGCTTATTCTTTGCGACAGTTTGTTTTCATAAGATCAATTTTTATGCCGCTGTAATCAAAGATTCGAGGGAATATAGTTTTTGTCCTAGCTGTAAGTCTGTCTATTCGTTTGGAAAACTTCAACCTTGCCCTTTACTTTTATTGGTTGAAGCTGTGGTTTTCATGTTTCACAAGTGTATCTATTCTTGGTGAAAAGATCTTTCCTTGGGCATAAAGATATTTATCATCATCTTGACTTTGGCCCTGGAGTTTGACGCACTTTTGAAAAAAAAGCCAAACTTTAACCTTAGCCGCATCTTTTGCAACAGTTGGTGCAGTAAAATTTAACATGTATATTTTTTCAGACAAGGCCTTTCCTTGGGTGATGAATATTTTTTACCCATTGATCTTGATTTTAAAGTTTGACTCATTTTTATAGAACTTTAACCTTGGTCATATCTTTTGAACAGAGTACTAGGTCATGTATATTTTTCACAGCTGTATTCCATGTGACAAGATCTTTTCCTGGGCATCATTAAGTTTGACTTACTAATGAAATGAAAAACTTTAACTGTGGCTATAACTTTTCCAAGGCAGGAGCATAATGCAAACAAGTTATTATCAAAAATAACTCAAATGTTAATTTATTTTGTGTCATTCCTCGCTAACTTCACACCACTTTCACCAAAGGTTTTTGCTCGTGCACCAAGACAAAGGCAAATGTTTGATTAAATTTACACCTTGCTTTATCCAGAAAAATTGTTCAAAGTCTTGGAAAAATTGGGATTTTTTTTTATTTAATGATAAAAATTGGACATATACAATGTATATAAAACCACAAAATATGGAGTAAAGTGCTGTTTTATTTCCACCTCCTCGCCAATTCTCCATTGGAGTCGGTGCACTCTAGTATTATATAATGGAATCCCAAAATGCAGTGCACTTTGGCAGGAAATACAAAACTCCCAAGAAATCAATGTTGTCCAAGTAGGATATAAAAATAACTTAGTGATTATTTTTAAAATTGTGTGTAAAATAACTAAAGCTAAAGTTTAATTTAACTAAAACTGGAGGTACTCTGGGCAATGAGCTCACTAAATGATACCCCCGCCTCTCATATGATTATAATGGAAGAAGTCCATGTTTTGCTGTGGCTGGAAAACCCAAAATATGTGTCGGATCAAAAAATAAAATAGGAGGTTCACAATGGCAATATGTAATAAAGATTCTGTGAAAGTTTCATTAAATTTCCTTCAGTGGTATGAGAGGAGTTGCGGATAAGAGATGGGTATCCCAAATCGTAACAGACGGACGGACGGACATACCGATTACTATATACCCTCCCACTTTTCAAGCGGGGGGTATGATAAGTTATTTTCTGATAACTTGTTTGAGTTATGTCCCTGACTGTTTGAAAAGTTAGAGAACGGGCTTTTATTTTTCACGTGTGTATTTTTTTTTGTGACATGACCTTCTCCTTGATACCATTATCCTGTGGTTTTTATTTACTTTAAAAAAATTCACCATATACGGCGTCTGGGTTTAATATTCAAATAGACAAGTCCTTTCTTTGGGTAACAATAATTTGATACCTTGCCGTTTGGATTAACTTGCATTTGAAAAACTTATACCTTCACCATAAGCTGCCATATGGGGCATCAGTGTTTCACAAACGCATCTGGTTTTTCTACCTTATGATCTTGTCCTATAGTTTGACTTTTATCTTGGTCATAACTTTTGAACAGCTTTCATATACTTCACATTCTCTCCCACTATTTTCTGCAAATTACAAACATTTTGTTCACATATCATTTAACACAAGTGCGTATTTTTCAAAAGTTTTATTGACCATGTCTTAAAACATTTATCTAATAGTTGATTTTGTTCAATAAATATTTTTTTCATGGTTTTTTCTTCAAATTTTATAATTAAATATATGGGTATATACATCCTTGTAGCATTCCATGATTCTGACTCACAAGTCTGATATCCCATTTGACTTGTACAGAATTAGTGAATACCAAGTACAATCATCAGCTGTATGTAACAACATCACTTGTACATGTAGATATATGACAATGCTTCACCACCACCTTTTTGATACTCAATTCTTTTCAAGAGCCATTGATACCAGGTATGAAAGAAACATGCCTTAATTTTTCACACTTCAAAATATCTCATACAGATGAATCGAGGAAGTGGCACAATATTCCTGTAACTAATGGAAATTTACATCAACATGTCATTGAAATATTACCTGTAATGCTATTGTTCACTTATTCATTTCTATGAATTAGTTTCCCGCAAAATAATGTCAATGAACAAGTTAGTGTGTTTGTCCCAACAAGATGTTCAACTTGAAATAGCATCTGGGTAATTTTAAAGTACTAAGTAACTGTTGCACTTTCCATACTAATCTAATTCTCATGAATTTTAATTAGCTTTCAAAACATAAAATAAATTCACGCAATTTTAGAAACATTTGAATCTTTATTTACTTATAAATAAATACAAAAAAATGGCGAACATTACTTTGTTTACTGATGATAATGAAGATACATGTACATGTTAACATTTTTAAAATCAAAGGATTTGTGCTGCCTCTTAAATGGACAATATGAAATATTTATCTTCTTGCAAGACAATGCATTTCATCCTGAGTACAATTTATAATAAAGTGCCGCGCCACAGCATGATACGCCCATCAAAAAATTACAATTTTCTTGAACAGTTTAGGTGCAAGAAAATCACATCAACCTTGATTCTAAGATTTCGATGATTTGTCATTTATCCATCCCCTGTGATGTAGGCATCAATTATAATAAATATTACATCACTGATAGATTTCTGTGCTGGTTGTGTTAGACCTTGTCAAATGCCCATCATCAAATTAGTCTTAACAACTTAATCTATACCAAATTAATTTTGAAAAAAAAGGCTGGCCATCAAATGACATATGTTATAAACTGACCAGCAGTTCTTCTGTCTAATCCCCAAAGGGCTGCTTAATCAGAGCGACAGAGACAGCTAGCCTTCCTACATTGAACTCATTAATTAATCTTTAACTGGATGCTTGTCTACTCATTACTACCAAGAGATGAATGGGTCTGCACTATCTACTATAAAATACTCTCAGATTTTTTTTTTTTGGTTGAGATTTAATGTCCGACAGGTTTTAGTATGTAATTCATATGGACATGCTGATTCAACCCCACCCCATAAAATTAGTTTTTAAATTAATAATATTACATATTATCAGATTAGTCTATTATGCAATATCAAATTAGTTTTAATTACTTTTCATCAAATTCATTTCAAAACTTAAGCTAGTCAACAAGAGCTATTTTTAATCAAACAGGCTTACCCATTTGCCCAATTCTCAAGGGATATAGATAACGCCAATGCTATGTCAATTAGCTCCTCGCACTCAAAACCCATTAATTTCTCTCTAATTTGACATGCAATTTTCTGTTATCAAAATTCTTCTTGACCAGTGCTTGATAATTACACTCATGGGAGACATGGGATTTCTCTAACATACATTATATTTGTTTTAGATTGCTGTCAAGTATATGCTTAAAAAAAATAAGTATTTTCTTGATTTAACACTTTTTTAATAAGAACAGTGCAATACTCTTACATTATTTGGGATGTGTAAATGAATATTAAAAAGACACATTTTTTTTTTAAAAATTCACTTAAATTAAAGGTCACAATGACCTTGAAATAGGTCGCGACACACCTTCTACCTAAGATGCATAAACTGGCCAAGTTTGATGATTGTAGGTCTTATGGTTTTCTAGTTATGGGCCGGAAAGGATTTTTCCATATTTGGCTATAACTTCTTAATTAAAGGTCAGAGCGACCTACTTTTTGTGCGCAACACACCTTCTACCCAAGATGCATCAGATGACAAAGTTTGGTAATCCTAGGCCTAGTAGTATTAAAGTTATGAGCCGGAAACAAAAAAGCTAACAGAAAGACGGACGGACATGAAGCCTATAACATAATACGTCCCGTCTTAAAACGGGCGTATAAAAAGGAAACTTTAATTTGAATAATCTTAACATGAGCCAATTGACTGTCTAATGATACCTGATTCATTGTATAAGAGTATTTCATTTTAATACAATTTTTTTTTTTTAAAGTTTGAGAATTAAGCAATGAGACATCCATGCCTATTACCCTCTATTCCTCTTTGGTATTCCTTGCTCAGCACTCTTCTTTTCACTTAGACAATGATTCCCATATTAAGAATAAATTATCTTGATCAACGACCAATGTCATTCAACAACAATGAACAGGAGAATGTTTCCATCAACTAAGTCCCTTGAAGAATTCATGTTGTAGAGCTTGGTCCGCTGAGATTCTGGTGAAGGGGTTCATGTCCAACAGCTTCCTCAGTAAATCAAAAGCTGAGTCCGGAACACCAGACCAGGAAGTGAAGGCATCATTTTCTTTATCACTAAGACTGTCCCTCTGTGAAGCGTGATGTTTAGCGGCTGGACCTTCTCGAAGTCTGGTGCACAGAACTTTTAGGTCCACAGATTTATTACCGGGGTGACAAATCAAATGTTTACCTTTGAACAAAAATACATAATTTTCAGTCTTCTTTATTTTGAAAGAGATAATAAATTAAAAAAGAAAAATTTTGTAAAAGGTTTTTCTAAAAACTACCATTTACATCATTTCTATAGATATTTACATTCTGCATAAGAAAAATAAATGAGTATATATGTTGTTCAGTTGACATCTGCATCTAGATAAGATTCTGATACAAATTTTCAAAATTCTAAAATACTTCGTAAATTACAAACCATATGCCTTGGCAGATTTGCTGACTTCCTCACTGCCCATAATGCTTATGATCTGTGCTAGCGCTGTCATGTCGTCATTGGCTCGGAAGAATGGATAACGTCCACTCAAAAGGGACAGGAAAATCACCCCAGCTGACCATATATCAACAGCTGCAAATAAATATGATGTAATGAATCAGTATTTTATACAAAATATAAGGTATTCTATACTAAATATTGTATAGATAAACAACATCAAATTACATACATACCTGTAGTCTGATCAGGAAATTTCATCAGGACTTCTGGAGCTCTAAAACCAGGTGTTCCTGCCCTTGGTGCCTGCTGATTCATTCTACGACACAAGATAATAATTGAATTTCAGGCCATATTTCAAAACATAGTTTTTAATTAAAAAATAAAGCAGTTATAAATAGATATTATTATTTTACAATACTTCAGTATTAAATCAACAAATTTCCGATAAAATATCAGAAATTTAAAATGATATAGATTAGAAAATGGCCCTTCAGGGATTCTCCATGGTTTTTATCTTATTACAATTTACTATGAAAACTTTTTGTATTTACCATGTGTGTAAAATTCTATGATTAATATACATATGCATTCTGAAATCAACAAACAATCTACAATGTAAAATTATCTTTTCCTACTTTCAATTTACCTTGCATTACAAATACTGCAGACTTGGGGTTTTCCAAAGCAGTCACATGTGGACAACACTGCACTTGGCTTTGCACCCTTTTCAAGCTCACTGGGTTTATTTTTAGCCAGAAGTGCTCTTTTCGCTAACAAAACCCTTCGAGGAGACTTAATTCGTCTTGCAAATGTAGAGTTCTCTAATTCTGGAGTAACATAACTTTGTGATTTCTTGCCTGCTGCTATTTTCTGAAAATTGGTAATGCTATCACATGAGATATATGTATAAAAAAGAACACAGGTATAAAAATTGTCCTTAATACGAGGGCCGTTCAAAAATTACGCGGACTTGTTGCACAGAAAAAATATTTGACGACATAATCGGGTAAAATGTCACACATAATATAAAAGAATCTTTACTTATATGGTCTTCAAAATTTCATATCAAAATGTTGTAAATTGGTATCAATTTTGAGTGATTTATCAGGACATATCATTAAGTCATGGAGCAGCAAAATCTTCGACGTCACAGGCATTATAAAAAAATATGTGATTGAGCTTTCATTTTCTCAACATATTCCCAGAGTTCCTACATAAAGTTTGAGTGACCTTACCTACCCAACATCTAAACACCATTTCTTGCCAAGCTTAAAATCTATTAAACGGGTAAAGAGTATTATTTTTTTTTTTTAAAGCAAAAAACGACAGGTATATATGAGATATAGTGTGATATTGGTGATTCTCAATCACGTTCTTTACAGTCTGGATAAAGTTGTCGTCGATAATCTTCTTCCCGTCCTCTCGTATAGCCTTTACACAGAGGTCTAATGGTCTAAAATTTCAATTTGCAATTTGTGGACGACTGTCACGAATACCCTAGCATACTACGTTTTTTATTATGTATATTTTGGATCTATGTTGGCGATATCTCGAGAATAACATATAATTTAACAAAAGTGTGGTGCGCCGTCAATTCAGGAGACGTCATTTTCACAGTCGTTTTCATGAGAATCGCATCGGAGAAAAACCACTATATTTCTGTTAGTACTTCAAATATCATGTCAGAAATCTAAATACATAATAACGGAACAATTTAAAGATACATTTGAGAAAATTGTCGAAAAATATAGCGAATTATAGAAAATTAATGAGATAAATTTTGGATTCCGCATGCTTTTGCTTCAGATTTTTTGTCATGCTCCGTACCTCTCCATCAGAGACATCAAAATACCGATAATTTTAATAGAATATTTTTAAAATTCAGAAATTTTGCCCAAAATTTATTGAAATCTTTAAGATACATATTTCTGTGAAATTTCATAACTATATGACGTCTGTAAGAGTAAATAATAGTAGAGTCCGCGTAATTTTTGAACGGCCCTCGTATGAATATGTAATAAGACTGTTATCTAAATTTTATACAACAATAGCCCTTTCATTTGGTCAATACCTAGATTTCACAAAATATCTTATTTACTGAGCCCTAAGTAAACATCTACATATCTTTGTATTGAGTGAATCAAAGGCAACATTTGTTACATCATTTTCTTTGAAACATACAAATTCATTATATAAGAATATTGGATAGCTTCAAAATTAAAGACTTTTCACAATACAACTTCAAATCCTTCCTATGTTATCCCCCTATGTTCATTTTTAATATTGTGAAATATAATTTTGCCTGTGATGTCATTCAACCAATAAGGACCTGTTTATTTTGTTGTGAAGATGAGGTAGGAGACAATGGATTTCTTGTAGATCTGCCCGATGTTGTGCTCTCTGTTTTCTGACTCTTCAACTTCATTTCATTTGGCTGTGACTTTACCTTGTGTGCCAAACCAAAATCCACCAAAGCATACCTGAAAAACAACAGCAGGTCACCCATGTGTTTATGATGTTATTAAGCTAAAACACTTGTAAACTTTACATCTTTACACTGCAATTGTTATTTGTTTTCTAAATTGCTAGTACAGTTTTCCATGGTCACTTACTGTTTGGTTACACTATCATACAGGAAGTTGCTTGGTTTAACATCTCGGTGGATAACTTCAAACTTGTGAACTCGTCGGAGGGCAATCAACAAATTTCTCATATATTCCCTGACCTCACCGACACTTAGAGTCAGTATGTAGTCCTGCAAGACAATGAATTTATATTTAAAGCATACAAGCAGAAAATAGGATCTAATTTTGGCACTTATCACTGTACAAAATTAAAAGTTTCAACAACAAAAAAATAGAGAATTGTACAGTGATGTTATAAGGTTTAAAATAAAACATCTATAATTGTTGTGATCATCTCCCCAGGTACAGCATAAAGAAAACTGATCCTACCTGGAACTTTTTATGTGGAAAGTAGGGCATCACTATGACAACATGATCCTTGTGTCTGATGCAGAGTTCTACTCCCATAACATTGTCACAACCACTGCAAAATAAAATATTTCACAAACAATCAACAAATTACCCCTTTAATTTGCTACTGAGAGCTGAATGTGGTCAACATACATTTATTTTATATCAATGTGATGAATTAATGAAAATACCCTATTTCTTGTAGACATCTCAACTCTCCTTCGATACGACTTGGGTGACTTGTAGGAATAATATGTTTCAGTGCAAACTTCTGAGGTAATTCTTTATAGTGCTTTAGTTGAGCTAGGAAAACTGAACTAAACGTTCCTGAAAATAAATTCTTCAGTATCAAAATATGCAATTTAACACAAATTTTAACATGACTATGAGGTACAACATATCTAAAAACAATTAGCAACTTAGTTTTTCAGTCAATGTGAATGAAATCTTTAATGCATTTACACTTCACTTCTACTAAAACAATAATAAAACCTACCCTCTCCAATTTTGTCTAGGACCACAAAGTGATGATCTATTTCTGGTACAAACTCGTATAAGCATTCTATTTCTTCTTGGACATCATCTAATGAAAAAAGAAATGAATAAAATCTCTACAATCATTGACAGACTGACAGTTGTCAGAATCTACAGATCTGAATTAAATATTACTTGATTTAGGTTTCGAAATTTAGAAAAACTTAGATTTACAATTGAAGACAATATATTATATTAAAAAAGAGAATAAAAAAATAAACATACAAGGTAGAGATTTTATGTCTGGTGACAATAGGTGAGACTTTAGCTTCTTTGGAGAGGAGCATGTGTCCTCCATTTCCTCTTCAGCAAAGTGTGATCCGTGGAAGCTAACATTTTCTGTTGTACTGAAAGTTGGATTCGTCAGACTTGCTGGAGTGCTAAATCCAGGGTTGGTCAGACTTGCTGGGATATCATCTTTTATTACCTCCCCTTTCCTATCACTCATTTTCTCCTGTTACACAATAAAAATTATAAATAAATACAGGGCTCCATTAGCACGGCGGAGAATCTACGTCATCGGACGGGATTAGGACACACAAAAATGGAGGACAAATGCTCCGCTTCGATGTAAGAAGTTGATATTTTTGCACTTATAAGGAATGAATATTAAATCAGTATCCTGCCTAAAGTATGCCAAAGAACGTCAACTACAATAGACAATGTACGTTTGCTCGTGATAGAATCTTATTGTTCCAAACACTTCGACACAGTTTGAAAACAAGTGAGAAAAAACCGGGATGTGGGGTACACATTTTTTAAAATTCGACCAAGTATTCGCATGTCCAAATGTACTAGACATTTTATTCTTCCGCGTTTACACTAGAACTAATATTTTTAAAAAATCCTGATTTTTTAAATAGTTTGTTATGCTTTAATTATCCAAGAAAAAAGTATAAATCGTTTTGTTTTCAGAAATGATGAAGGGCACACCAACACTAAAACGGATATGGGACACACAATAAGTTACTTTCAAATTGAAACATCGAGCATTCATATCTTAAAGTTTCCATTTAAATGACTGCCGTTTGATAGTATATGAACAATAACCTGTACAACTCATCTTTGTAATACTCATCCAAATACTTGATTCCCTTGGTTTGCTTGTATCCATACAAAAATTATAAGTTGAAAACGCTGGTCTGATCTTCAACAAAAGCTTCCAACATGAATTTTAAATTTTGACTTTTATTAAATTTCATGTAGAAATTTACCGGTATTCACTTCTACAGATCCATAGAAAGAGGGGGGAGGGTCGAAGTCCGGAGATTGTGTTTATTTTATGATATTTCCATTTAAAGATACACGACATCCGCCCCCCCCCCCCTCGAAAAAAAAATACCCCCCCCCCCCGAAAAAAAAACCACACACACACACACACACCTGTACAAACTCACGAAATAATTTTTTTTTTAGCTTTGTTGCTTACTTTTCTGCTTGTCAAAATAGTTTGGAGTCAGAAAATTCTTTAATTGGAATTCCCTTGGTTTGCTTGTATCCATACAAAAATTCAAATATTATAAGTTGAAATGGCCGGTCTGATCCTCAACAAAAGGTCATTAGCTGCCAAAATGAATTTTAAATTTTGACTTTTATTAAATATCATATTGAAAGATACTAGTATTTACATGTGCGGATCTAAAAGGAGGGTTGAAGTCCGGAGTCTATGTATATGATTTTACGTACTCTACGATACTTTTGTGTTAAGTAACACGACCCAGACCCAATTAAACACACATAAAATAGCTTTTTGAGATTGATTGTTTAATTTCTTTGCTTGTAAAAATGTTTTGGAGTCAGAACTTCTTTTTCTGAGTTTGTGTGGACACCCCCCCCCTTCGAAAAGTTTCTGTATTTGCATATTCAGTGTTTGTTTTTATTAAATCTTTGTCGGTAAGACTCTAGTATGTCAGCTGATAGGAAGCCGAGATTAGGGAATTTTTCTTATGCTCAAATATTTGCAACAGCTGACAAACTTCTTTCAAAATTCTAATAGTTAATTACCGACTCCATATATTTGAGAAAAAAAGACAAAATTGAATATTGTACTTCGAAGTTAAAATCATCGTATTAATTGAAAAAAATTATTATTGTTTTATTATACATGTGTCTTTCCTGATATGCTTTATTTTATGAAATAAAATATACAACATGACTATATTAAGATAGTCATGTTGTGTATTTTATTTGATAAAATAAAGTATATCAGGAAAGACACATGTATGAATCAGTGATTAAATATTACGTACTCATAAAGCAGTTCATGTCATCTTATTTACATTCGCTGGAATATTAGCCAAAAGCAATGATAGGAGCAGGCTTAAATAAACATTACCAGCAGTATAAATTGGGACTTTTTTGTTGTTGTAAAAAGTACTTTAGTAGCTATACATGAAAAAGAAATAATGTCAAGCTCTTTTATATGATAAGTTTTGAAAGGGGGGGGGTCATTATCAGAGAAAAATGACAGCTAAAAACCTTTGATTGGCACCCACGAAAAGACAATTTTTAACTTCAATTTTTGTTCTGGCCCTGCCCATCACTGGCAACCACTTTCATACATTCGATTACTAATATTATGTTCACCTGAGTGCAAGCTAGGAGCAAATAAAATAGCTTTCCAAAACTATTTGTTGCAATTTGGAATTTCCCGATCTATTTTTAGACCACTGTGTAGGGAAAATAAATTCTTATTATCACCTGGAAGGTCAGTTGTTGCAAATATTTGAGCATAAGAAAAGTTCTTGATCTCTTTCCCATATTAAAAGACATGCTAGTGACAAAGATCTTATTAATACCAATTTGCAGATTTAAGAACTTTTTCGGGATGGAAGGGAGAGAGAGAGGGGGGGGGGGGAGTCCACACAAAGTCCAAAGAATTTTCTGACTCCAAACTATTTTGACAAGCAATAAAGTAAGCAACAAAGCTGAAAAAAACTTATTTGTTACTTACTTAAACGAGTTTGTGTGTGTGTGTGTGTGTGTGTGTGTTTCGTGTTTTTTTTTTCGGGGGGGGGGGGGGGGGGGGGGGGAGGCGGATGTCATGTAACTTAAAATAGATATATCTTAAAATAAACATAATCTCTGGACTTCGACCCTCCCCCCTCTTTCTATGGATCTGCAGAAGTGAACACCGGTAAATTTCTACATGAAATTTAATAAAAGTCAAAATTTAAAATTCATGTTGGAAGCTTTTGTTGAGGATCAGACCAGCGTTTTCAACTTATAATTTTTGTATGGATACAAGCAAACCAAGGGAATCAAGTATTTGGATGACAAAGATGAGTTGTACAGGTTATTGTTCATATACTATCAAACGGCAGTCATTTAAATGGAAACTTTAAGATATGAATGCTCGATGTTTCAATTTGAAAGTAACTTATTGTGTGTCCCATATCCGTTTTAGTGTTGGTGTGCCCTTCATCATTTCTGAAAACAAAACGATTTATACTTTTTTCTTGGATAATTAAAGCATAATAAACTATTTAAAAAATCAGGATTTTTAAAAAATATTAGTTCTAGTGTAAACGCGGAAGAATAAAATGTCTAGTACATTTGGACATGCGAATACTTGGTCGAATTTTAAAAATGTGTACCCCACATCCCGGTTTTTTCTCACTTGTTTTCAAACTGTGTCGAAGTGTTTGGAACAATAAGATTCTATCACGAGCAAACGTACATTGTCTATTGTAGTTGACGTTCTTTGGCATACTTTAGGCAGGATACTGATTTAATATTCATTCCTTATAAGTGCAAAAATATCAACTTCTTACATCGAAGCGGAGCATTTGTCCTCCATTTTTGTGTGTCCTAATCCCGTCCGATGACGTAGGGTGACTGGAAAAACCCGAAACCCCCCCATTTTTGGAGAATACCCATACAGGAAGGGTGAAACCCCAATAAAGTGGTGGAAACCCCATAAAATTGAACGTGATGGGGTACAATAAGGCCTAAGGTGATGTTAATTGAATGATATTGACATTCGTAAATTTTTATAGCCAATTTTACCTCAGAATCGACGGAAATCGGGCGCCATTACGAGTTTACCGTACACCACGCCCGATCTAAATTCGAAGCGAGCTGTTTGTCAATATAATTTTATAGATAATATTAAAATAATTCATAATAATTTCCACAATTATATTTGTTTTACAATGATAATTGTAAAATATTAATTATGTAATAAGTATTTAACAAAAAATGTAAGGACGTTAGCCATTAAGAAAATATGAATTTGTGTATCAATTATTATTCATATTATCCCAATGTTACCAGCTCTAGCCACGTGGAGGCCTCCTTTTTGTAGAGTCATAATTTAAAAAAAAAATTTCATTTAGGATATTTTAGAGAAAATCTGAATTTAGAGATATGAAAATATCCAAAAGCTTCAAAGCAACATTAACAAAAAAAAAAATAGTAAAGATAATTCATTACTTATTTGTTACAAAGAGAACAAAAAAAATAAATAAAATTCAAAATATGAAAATATTGAATTTATTTTTGAGATTTTAGACTAATTCTGAATGTAGGGATATAAAAATTTGAAATTCAAAGGTTCAAAGCAACAATAAAAATTAAAAATAATAATTACTTATATGTTAAAAAGAGAACAAAAAATAAATCAAAGTCAAAAGATGAAAATACTGAAACCTGAAATAAATAGTAAATTAGAATAATATATCAATTTTCAAATATATAGATATTTTATTTCAAAGTAACTTTTTTATGTTCTTTTCTTAGAAAAAAAAAATTTACATCAGTTGTTTACATTTTGAATTGTCTTTAAATTACAACATATATGAAATAAAAGAAAAAAACAGAAGGAAAAAAAAATCACACAACAAAATAAAAGAACTGAAGTTCAGATGTAGCTCCTAAGTATGAGGAATCACTTAGGGATTGTGGTAGAAATTACCATTTTTCAAGTGCATGGACTATGCATGCAGCTGTGTCAGTTACCTCTAGCTGTATCTAAAAAAACGTAAAAAAGTGGACAGGACTACAACTTTAAAAAAATCTTAAATACAGTAGATCAGAGGCCAATAATCAGTCAGTCTTAAACCAAAAAACAAAACCAAAAATGTTTTTAAGATTGTATATTTATTATTTTTTCTAGAGTAGGGTGTTGTGTTAGGTTAGAACTTAGAATAGGGTTAGTATCAGGCAGAATAGTAAAGGTTCAATGTATATACACATGCCCTGCCAGAGGGGGGTTGGTCAGACTAGCTGGGAACCCAGGTGTTTAAACAAAAGGTGTTTATTATCAAGTTGACCAAGTGTCAACAGCTGTGTATATAGTGCATGTACACACACAGGGGTGCCTGTCTATCCCAGTACAAAACAACAGAGCTAGCTGAGGTGTGAATAATATTCTCACAATAATGTTACAATACCAACTGTACAAGGATTCACATATGCAACATGCACATTTTTATTATTTTTTTATCAGACTTTTTTATTTCATAGACCTGGATTCTAATAATTTCATTGTAATGGATACATGTTGCTTTCTCATATCAATGAGTATATTTTTTTTCTATTACTTGCATAAAAAACAAAACAAAACAAAACAAAAAATAAACCAAAAAAAAACCACACACACACACACACTCTCCCCTACGGAAGCCCTGGAGGGACATTGACTTACTTGTTATGACTTATTTGTTATAACTTTTTTGTTTTGACTTATTTGTTGTGAATGTTTGGTAGCTAGTTATAATTAAGTTTAAGAAAGCTATTGTAAACCTGTTGCTCAGCTTACTTTTATGATAAAATGATATTTAGTCCTATTTTAACCGTGCTTTTTGATTGACAAATTGTATTTTAACTTCCAGTACAGTTGTGATTTCTAAAGTAAATATTATTTTTGTTGTTATAACTTAATTCTTATTTTCTAAAAGTTATTACTTAATTCTTATATGTAACTTCCAAATAATGATTGAAGACAAGAACATGACTACTATTTTATCTTGTCGTTAGTAATAAATTCAAGGACATTTTTTTCTTTTTTCTGAAACTATACGTTGCCTCCATCTTTCACGCCAATTTTTGTGCACTAAACTTGTCATAACAAATTCAAAATAACAAGAATTCAAAGTTAAGTCATAAGTACTAAGTCAAGACACATAAGAAATAAGTCAACACACATAAGAAATAAGTCAAAACACATAAGAAAAAAGTCAATATCCCTCAAGGGCGTCCGTAATTAACAGATAAAAATTAAGTAATCACATCAGTTTTGTACGTTTAACTAAAAAACTACGATCAATCGTTTTCAATAGCTTACCTACACTTAGTTAGAACTAACAAAAAAATATCTCAAAACAAATAAGTGAAAACAAAAAAGTTATAACAAATAAGTCATAACAAGTAAGTCAATGTCCCTCCAGGGCTTCCGTACAAAACACTCTCCCAAAAAAAAAAACAGAACCAAAAACATTAAAACAAAAAATTAGTAACTGGAAAATAATAATGAATGAATATACTGAATTTAAAGATTAATTATTAAACATAGAAGAAAACATTTCAAAACAAACACCTTAATTAAAAATTAAATAAATTAACAAATTCATTCATTAGTTAATTTAATTTAATTACATGTTATAAATGATTGGAATTGAGAAAAATTACTTTATTCCTTGATTAATGGACTAGTTAAATTCATAAAAACACTTTCAATTAAAAATTTCACTGTAATGTCTTTCATTATAATAATTACATTAATAGATTCATTCATTAGTTAATTTAATTTAATTACATATTATAAATAATTGGAATTTATAAAAATGACTTTATTTCTTGATTAATGGACTAGTTAAATTCTTTTTAAAAAATTCAATTAAACATTGCACTGTAATGTCTTTCAACATGATAAATATTTCATACTTCTTTTATATTCTTAAGGTTTCCTTACAAATAATTTTTTTTAAAAATAATATTCATACATAATATAATATTCATATTGATCAAGATTACAGTAATTATTTCCACGGATTACTCGAAACGACTTCAGCGATCGCGAATTTAGATCGGGCGTGGTGTGCAGTATATCAAGACAAGAAGAAACCCGTCGATTCTGAGGTAAAATTGGCTATAAAAATTTACGGATGTCAATATCATTCAATTAAACATCACCTTAGGCCTTATAGTACCCCATTACATTCAATTTTATGGGGTTTCCACCACTTTATTGGGGTTTCACCCCTCCTGTATGGGTATTCTCCAAAAATCGGGGGGTTTCGGGTTTTTCCAGTTACCGGATGACGTAGATTCTCCGCCGTGATTAGGTTCACAACTAAATTGTATTGATTGAATGGATTAACAGATATAAGAATAAAGTTGCCATTTAAAATTAATTGTTCAATGTTCACATAACTGATTATACTATTGAGGTCCTGATACATGAACATTACCAGAAAAAAAATCTTCAGTTGACTTGTTCCAGTTCTGAACGCGTTTCCTACTGACTACTCTTCCGCAGTATTCAAGTTTCAACGGCTTCTTCTCATTTGTACAGATGCAAGTATTTGACGCAGTCAATAAATCTGTTTAAACTCATTTAAACAAATCCCCTCATGAATCTTCAAAGCAGCAGAAATCCTGACTTGTTCCTTTTTTGTTGTCTGATACAAACAAATAAAGCGCCAATCCTTCGCGGCCAATCAATTTCTTGGTTTCAGTTAAATTTGTATCACGAGCCCGAGCTATTATGTAGTCTTAGATTGTCTAATAGAAGTCTCGACTTTTTCAAATTTTCCCCTTCAAAAACAAAAAAGTACTTGTTGATACCTTTTTTTTTTAAATCCCCTCTGATTTTATTACACGGCCATGGACTGTTTAAAAGCATATAGATCCTGTTACTGTACCTTATTTAATCATGTTTTAAAATTACAATAAAATTTCTAGTTGTCTAGTTACGTAATTTCTCTAGACATTATCATGTTATGAACATTTTTTTTTATCAGACGCCTTTACTGAAAAAAATGAATGAGATGAGTTTCTTTAACACAGACAAGCTTGAGCACAAACCATTTGGCAAAAAATCACCATTTCAGCATTCCCCTTACCAAACTGATATGTTTGCTGCAGGCCTGCAGCAGGTCTGCTGCAAGCTTGCAGCAAACAAAATTGTTCGCAGGAAGAAAATTTTCTTGTTCGCAGATGATTGCCGCTAGCTGCGATCTTGCGGCAAACATTGCAGCAATTGCTGCAAGCTTGCAGCACATTCGCAGGAACCCAACATGTTTGCAGGAACATTGCAAGAAACATACACGCCAATTTAATGTTCGCAGCAAGTTCGCAGGAAACAATATCATTATTCAAATGTTTGCAGGAAGTTCGCAAGAACAGTAAACAAGTCAAATCAGCCAATGAAACGCAGATTGTACTGGGTCAACACAAAACTGGCCATTTTGAAATGTTGGAATTGAAGTTGTACACGTTTTAGTATTTTGTTACGAATATACATCGTTTTGAATGATTAAAAGTGCCAAACTCTGGATGTAGGTGTTCATTCTATCAATGATATCTAATTGGTAAGAAATGATATTGATTTATTTTTGATATTTGAAAGAATATTTCTTAAAAGCATGTTTGAGTAACTGGTGTAAATGCTAGGTCAAATCTAGATCTGTTTCTAATGAATTTCAGTCCTCTTTTCGATGTCACATATGTATACTTCTTAAAAGTATTAATGGACCTAAATCAGTTAAATGTTATCAAATTAATTAGTAAATGTGTAATCACGGAAATATTCATTAAAAATTATATGTAAAGTTCTTAAAGTTTTGTTCATATAAAAAGCTATCATGCACTTTAATTTTAAAAAGGTATGAAAACTTTGTCTAGGAACGTAAAGAGGGCCTATCATAACTTCATAAAACTGAATTATTTCAGAAACATGTGGTGGATTTTCTCTAAACTTAACAGATTTAGGTCAGGACAAAGGCTTTCTGTGAACTTGCTGCTTGTACAAAAGAATGTGCCAAAACCATAAGGAAATTGTTTGCTGCAAGTTAGCAGCAATGTTTGCTGCAAGCTTGCTGCAATGTTTGCAGCAATGCGGCAGGCTTGCAGCAATGTTTGCCGCAAGCTTGCAGCAAGGTTTCCATATTTGGAAAATCCAGTGTTTGCTGCAGACTTGCAGCAAACCTCATTTGCATGGTAAAATGTTTGCAGCAAGCTTGCTGCAGACTTGCCGCTAACTTGCTGCAAACACCAAGGCTTTGTGTAGATTGTCATGCTTTCTTTGACTACATTGCCGCAAGCTTGCAGCAATGTCTGCTGCAAGCTTGCAGCAATGTTTGCTGCAGACTTGCAGCAAATATTTGCAGGAAAGCAATATTTTCGGTAAGGGTCATTAATTTGGTTTACTTGGATCGGACAGGGGAAAAAATTCAACATTTTATTGCACATCTACAGAATCTGCAGAAACTGAAGTCCCTCAAATTACAGATGTTCCAAATTAAAAGAGGATTTGGCTTCTGTGTCAGGGTTTAAGGATATCCAATCCTGAACTCAGGAAGGATAACTCTTCTTAATCTATACGGTTTTTAACAATTAGGTTTTTATTGATACATCGTTGAAATTACATGTATATACAACATATTTTCCTCATCTAGTATTATATGACAGTATTTACATCAATACATTTCATAGCATTTAGTCAAAACAATCACTAAAACGCATGCATTCTCATAAATAAACATTAAAAATACATATGTAGCAGCAAGTTGCTCTGGTTAACTTTTTAAAAAAAATCTCAAAAACAAAATGAAGTTTATATCCCGAAATAAATTTCGAGTTTTAATCACATTCCATTATTATGATCATATGACGACCAAAAAAAAATCGAATAATAAAAATCAATTTGCTATTTCTTATGGTACAAAGAAGAAATGAATGGAGCCTGCCATCTGTCTCCGGAATATTGTACATGTATTGTCCAGTTATATCGACTGATCGAATTGAGGTTAATGAACTCCAATTGTCTGATTATCATTATATGTAACAAATGAACAAGTATGTAAGGTCATCTCTTTGATTGGGTCCTTAAAGAACTGTCGTTTACTGATTTTTATTTGAAAATTAAAATAACGTATTAATTTTTGGAGAGGACTTATATATAGGCCATGTCTGATGTCTAATCCAATTAATAAATACATGTATGTAAACTGACTTTACATAATAAAATATTGATTAGATTAAATTAAAGAATGTATCAAAGTTTGACTAAGAGAAGTGAATTGTGCTTAAAATTATTTTCTGATGAAATATACCGGACTTGGGAAAGAGCTTTCCTTTTATTTTCTCTCTTTTTTCTAAGGAAAGAATGTTGTTTCACTCTTAATGGTGAACGAATATTAGCTTTCTAGACAATTTTCTATGACCATTGGCGTCGGAAGCGAATTGAAAGTGGGGGGGGGGGCTAATTGTAATAAAGTTTTTTTTTGTACCTTCAAAAAAACCTAACAAGCAAAAAAAAAAAAAAAAGAAAAAAGAAAAGGTCTATTTCCCAAGCACGAAAATCCTATTTCGTGGGGGGGGGGGGGGGGGGGGGGGGGGGTAGGTTCGAACTCCAGTACCAAAAATTTTCTTCCAAACACCTCCACTTTCCCCGTTTTAACCTATACTAAGACGTATCTGTGGAAAGTGGGGGGGGCTAAACTTACGAAGATATGTTCAATGTCAATACTAAGTATATATTTGGAAAAAAAGTGGGGGGGGGGGCTAAGCCCCCCCCTAGCCCCCGGGTTCCGTCGCATATGATTACTGCACACCCGTACCACAACATTCGAAAAAAATATATAAATATATAAAGAAATAAATAAATGACATAGTTGTGATCATTATTCGGAATTCATAATATAACAGATTAAAATCGACTGTACAAACTCGAAATAAATAAATGTATTCGAATTCAATTTACTTAACACTCCATAAGTTGAATTTATTTATGAAAAATTGGCCGGGTATCAAAGGAAAACAAAAACATGCGGCTCATGGACTGCAACGCTCACCTTATGTAGCAGCATGAAAAACTTGATCATACCAACTAGTAACTAATTTCCTCTCCCCGTAGCTCATAATTTGAACAAATTTAAATAACACTGTATCTGGTTATCTGTGTTAAACTCTCTTGTATGGCTCAGACCGAGTGCTGGCGTGTTTTTGACAGCGACATGAGAAAAGTAGAAGTATCCACAACAACTGTCCTCGAAAAATTCACCGTATCTTCCGGCCGAACAAGATCTCTAACAGAGACCTCCACAAGAAAAGCAAAAGCAGGAGCATAACAACTGAAATCAAGCAAAGAAGATTGAGATGGTTGGGATATGTGATGACAATGCCCCGGTGCAGAATGGAATACCTAAAACAGCGTTGGACACCATCTGGAAAGAGGAAGCGAGGTAGACCGCGAACAACTTGGAGAAGAACCCTAGCATCAGAGCTATAGAGGAAATGGGCTACTCGTGGGGACAGGCACAGTATGTGGCAAAAGACAGAGGAAGATAGCAACGACTTGTGAAGCCTCATGTCCCATCTGGGATGAAGAGGATAAGTAAGTAAGTAAGTATCTGTGTATAATTGCAACTTTAAATAATATGTTAAATAAATACGTATATATATTATACATATGTGCACTTTATTGTGATGAAAAATGCCTTGAATACAAAATATATATCATTCAAAGAACTACGAACTCTAACTCTTGATTCCCGCCTACATTTTGCACCCATTAAATTCAATGTTAATGGCAATATGGCCATTAAATATTTGTTTAATACAAAGAATAGTTCTATGGTAATTGATTAATCATTTTAATTCCAGTGCTAGGTACTAAATTATCATTAATTCCAGCTCTCGAAAAAAGGGGGTAGACGATATTTTCTAGTGAAATCGAACTTTCAAGAATCAACATATTTTTAAATAGTCTTAAATCTGATAAAATGTTTCTCATATCTTTTCGTATGTTTTATGCAAATAAATAAACATATATAAATTAATAAAATACCATTATTTATTTGTAAATAGCTTTAAAATTGGTGAAAAATCAGCATTTTTGTCGTTTTTTGTCTATAAACATATGTTCCCCCCCGTGAAACACAAAAAGCTTTGGCCAAAATTTGTAAAATAACAGTCCATATTACCTGTAAAAAGGAATTTTTGTTTCACGGGGGGAAAGATGTTTTAAAAATATTTTCCGTTTTCCGTTGATTTCTATAGTGAAAAACACAAGTTTTACCAAAATTATAGAGTTATCTCTCTTTGGTATCCCAAATAAGTAACGTTTTATGAAAATTCATATAAATATCTATAAAAATTTTGAAAATAATTCGAATATGTTAACTTTAAAGAATTGACTTACAGGTAGGCGGGAGAACAATACTATCGTTCGTGGTTCTTATAAAATATGGTCAGAAATATGAATTTAACTGGAGAGCTTCCGTCTCCTTTCTTCTAAGAATTCTCCAAATTCCCGAAAAGACGGCAAAAGGCTTTTCAAGCCTGTCTGGTTTTCCGTGCAATAATTGTGTGAAGTCGCGCCCTCTTTGAATTTGAACACACTGTGGTCTGAATAGTGGTGATGATTTGAAGAATATGGACCAGGTGATGACATGAAAGATGGACTATTAGAGGAAACACTTTTAGATGACAAAGTACCAGGGTTATTCAGGGATTGTTTTCCTTTCGCGGGAAAGACACTTTCACATTCGAGATTATTGATTGTCTTTGTTTTTCTATCACAATTTGAATTACTGCAAGACGTAAACGTAGTGCTGTGGAATGGCTCGTGAACGTCTTTTATCTGGGCTCTATTAAAATTTTCATCCACAGGCTCGTCGTTGCTGCTCATCGAAATCACATCGAATGATGACTGATGATCAATTTCATCTAGATGTCTCCTTTCTGGACTTCCTGTTCTGTGAACTGTGAAATCACCCACTTCGTATTTAGATAACCTAGCACGCAATATCCTATTATTTCTGTTACCATCCAAATTGTCCAGATACACAGAATAACGTTTAGGTTTACCAATAGTTCCCTTCTTTGCCCATCTCCTATGCTGATGGTAAATGAAGCTTTTATCCACGGCAATTGGAATTTCGTTACCTCCTTTTTCTAAAGACTCCGGCATAAGAACCCTGACCAACTTAACATCGGGCGCTAGACATAGTTCTGGCTTGCTGGCGCTCTTTTTCGTGTTTGCTTTGTCAAATGTAGAGCGACATTCTGGCATTGAACATGTTGGGATCTCTGTTTTACTGGAAATCACAGATATACCAGAATCCAATTCTGCGCCGCTACTGCAGCTTCCAGACTCGTACAAGGTGTCAGATGAGCACACTTTTCTTTCAAGTTGTTTTGGAACTGTTCTTTTCTCTGTGAAAAAAGACACAGGGGCGTTTACCTCTTTGCTGTACACGGGACTGTATGGGTCATGTAAGCTGTGTATATGGTGCGTCATGGATTTTGTACTAGTTCTACGATGCTTGGCCCTCCACCGATGACCTGTCGTCAAGACATCGTGGTGACGAAGATGGAGCAGACGAAACCTCGCTCTGGATATGGAATCACGACACTTCCGGTTAATAAACGCAATCACAATTCCCATGATGATGAGGACAGAAACAAATGTCGCAATCAGTAGGTAGGTATCTCGGGTGTGAATCGGAAGTGAATTGTCTGGCTGAGGATAGAAGGTAGTGGTGGTCACATTTTCTCCCGGCTTTGAATACATGTTAGAGCCAGCATGTTTTCTGGAGAATGCGTGGAATCAAAATCCAAGAGTTTCCATGACAGTGTGACACATTCCCTTCTCAAGAAAAAAAGAGAAGACATTATTAGCATTAATTATTATTGATCCATGTTTTCTTCTTTTATTTCTTAAATCATTTTACATAGTTAGAACATTAAGATTGTTGCCCAGACTTTGGCAAATAACACATGATGAATGATAAAAATTACGTGCAATACAGGCAATTGTTTGGGGTTATAATGGACGTTTTACATAAACATAAATATTATTGTTATTAATTTATAATTTGAGGTCAGACAAGACGTTCCTCAGATATCTGTTTTTATAAATTTTCGTAATGTATTAAAAATGTGTAACATTGTAAATACCCTATGATTTTTAAACATGTTTCTATAATTGTCTTTAAAAAATAAAACAAATTAATGCTTTTATTTTTTATGTGGGCAATTTAAGATTTTTTTCAAAAGAATTGTATAAGAAACACCATCATCTGGTATCTTGCACAAATGCCTGGTAAGCTATTGTGAATAAACATGTTAAAGTAGGAATACTTAAATGACAAAATCTCTGAAAAAAAATTACACTGTATATACTATTTAGGAACGTACCGGCTGTCCTTAAACTTTTAAAATATATACATACCTTTAACTTCAAACGCAGTTTATTATAGCGCAGAATGGGAAGTATAGAACTGACGGGCTGACGGACTGGCCACATTGTATAAGGAAGAAAAGATATCCTTGGTGATCCAACAGATGTCGAGATTTGTCTACCAACATGTGAATGTGCGAATCGTTGGATGAGTCAGTGAAGTTCAATGGCTCTAAATGTACTTAATGGCTGAAATCGATACAGATTTATCTATGTTATATAACCAAAGACGAAGACATACATCTCTCTATTTCTGTGCATTTAAATTTTCTTTTGGTAACAAATGTACAGTTTTAGAAATTACCGATTCGAAAAAATTATTTTTGATGTTTTATAAAAAAGAAAATTATCATCCCCCAATATCATTACAGATTTTATTTTATTTTTTGCAAAGTTTGTAAACTAGTGGTATTAATTTAATTGACATGTGCCCTTGAATTGAGATATGTAATACATCTCAAAGCAATGCGTCATATTGAAATTCGATAAATTAATATGAAATTTTATAACAAGAAAAATGTGACCTTATAGAACTTATCCCACGTTTCCAACTGCATGCGAAAAACAATGTGAGCCTTAAAAATACACGGAGCTGCACATGTACATATAAATATGATATACATGTACATCTGAATTAAGAACCATCCAAGTATAGCTTGTATATAGGTTAAGTCTGGTTGCACAAGTATTAACTTAACAAGAGTGTACTGTAGCATATTTATAGGTTTGAGTGAAAATTTTACCTCTTGAGCTTTTTAATGATGAAGAAAAGTAACAAATTTAAGCACATTCTTTAGCATTCAATAATCAAATTTGCGTACACTGTGCTGCTGCATGTTTAATTTTTTTTTCGAAAAGCATACTTTGCAGTCAATATGAAGTTGTTGTTTTTTCTAAAATTACTGCTTAACGCATTTAACTTTCGCGTTTATTCACAAAAGTTATGCACCATAACGCGATTTTTTGTTATATTTTACCTTGTAAAATGAGCCCAATGGGCTTCATAATTTTCCATTTGAAATCACTAATTTTCGTGGGGGTTTATTTTTCGTTGTTTTCGAGGCAAAAAGAGACCCACGAATTTATGATCACCACGAAATGTTAATTTCAATATACATTACTTCTAAAACATCTTCATCCACGAAATCAAGTCCCCACGAACCAAAATTATATCCTCGAACCTCGAAACTTTGACCCCACGAAAATATGTGATTTTACAGTATATCAAAATCAGTTAACAATCAATAAACAAATCTTTCCTTTTTTCTTTCAGTGGAATTGGGAACTATTGAGTAAAGAATATGAATTATCATAAAAATCGGAATGATGGACCTAGCTATGAAATTTTATTTTTCATTCCATTATAAGTTTGTTATGGTCTTTTTTTACGGAGAAGATTTCTGAAGTTGTCTATGTAAATGTTGGATTCACTCATGGGAAAATATAAATCTGACATTGACAGATACGGAATTATAATTGGACTGGAGTTACAGAATCGATAGTCAGTAAAGCTGTATTCAATAGGAGGTCATACACTGAGAACATTCTCATTTCAAATGTGTTCTGTTGTTCGTCCGTCGGTGGCGACGATGACCACTGTCTCATCTTCGTGGGGGAGGGGGTTGACCTGGACGGTGGGTGCGGAGGTGACTGGCCAGGCCGATCCTCGCAAGGAATAGTCTCGGACAGTGAGGGCAGGGGATGGTGGCAACTGCCGGGTCCTTAGCGCTGTCTTTCTTGGCCTGCCTGCGTTGTTTTGCTGCGGCTGTCGATCCACACCTGTCTTGTGCTGCAACTTCCCAGGAGTCAGGGTTGATTCTGAATGCCTTGAGGGAGGCCTTTAGGGTGTCATTGAATCGCTTTTTCGGGGCACCACGGACACACTTTCCTTCCAGTAGTTCACCAAAGAGTAGTTTCTTGGGGAGTCGATGGTCTGGCATACGGATTATGTGTCCCGCTCAGCGGAGTTGTGACTGCATGAGCATGGTGTAGATGCTGGGCAAGCCAGCTCGGATGAGGTCGGGGACTTCTGTGTCGGGTATATCTTTTCTTGCCACTTCATACTAAGAAGCTTTCGAAGGCTTGACGTGTGGAATTGGTTCAGCTTTTTGGCGTGCCTCTGGTAGACAGTCCACGTTTGACAGCCATACAGCAGTGTGGTGAGAACCACTGCACGGTAGACCTTAATCATACCCCCCGCTTGAAAAGTGGGGGCATATAGTAATCAGTATTTCCGTCCGTCTGTCCGTCCGTCCGTCCGTCTGTTACGCTTTATCTCTATTATTCGCAACTCCTCTTATACTACTGAGTGAAATTTAATGAAACGTTCACAGAGTCTTTATTCCATATTGCCATTGTGCACCTCCTATTTTACTTTTTTATTTGACACGTATTTTAAGTTTCCCATAGCAAAACACGGACATTGCCATTTTATGTTTACCTATGACGTTACATATAGAAGCTTCTGGATAACATTTGATAGGACGAGTTTTTCCTCTTTACACATTACCGTGACACAATATATAGCAACACATGGACATTATGGGAGGCGGGGGGTATCATTTAGTGAGCTGATTGCTCACAGTACCTCTAGTTTTTGTCTCTGTTGTGATGCCTCTTCTGTCCCATACGTTCTTGTACAGTCTGCCGAAAGCAACGCTCGCCATTGCCAGTCTAGCGTTCACCTCTTCATCGATCACAACGTTCCTGGACAGAGTGCTACCGGGGTACGTGAACTTGTCCACAACATTTAGCCGTTGGTTGTTGATGGTGATGTTGGGCTCAACATACGGTTCGCTGTTTCCACGTCGTGGTCATCCAGCACGGTGGAGTTCAGGCGTTCTTCCAGGGTGTCAGCAAAGTACTGAGAGGTGGAAGGCAAATTGAGCTTACCAATGTTGAGACGTTTTTGAGCCTTGGTCTCTTGAGGACGTATCTTTGGTTTGATCCGGAAGTTGAGTTTAGAGACGATGAGACGGCGATCTGGCCAGCACTCCGCGCCGCACATAGCCTTGGTAACACGAACGTCATGTCTGTCTCTCTTTCTGACGATGACGTAGTCAATGAGATACCAGTGCTTTGATGGAGGGTGCATCCTTGACGTCTTGTTACAGGTGGAAAGGCAGAAAAAGGTGTTTGTGATGAGAAGGCCATGTTCAGCGCAGGTCTGGAGAAGCAGCAGTTGCACTGTTGCACTTGTCCATTCCGTGCTTCCCAATCACGCCTTCCCAGGTGGTGGTGTTACGTCCAGCTCTCGCATTAAAGTCACCAAGAACGATGAGCTTGTCGGTGTTAAGGACGGCGTTGATGACATTGTGGAGGTCCTCATAGAACTTGTTTTTAGTCTCCTCTGACTTAGTCAGGGTAGGAGCGTATGCGCTGACAGTAGTGGCGAACTTTCCTCGAGTGAGGGGGAGTCTCATCGTCATCAGGCGGTCATTCACTCCTTTGGGTACGCCGACTAGCTTGCCAGCAAGTGTCATCTTTATAGCAAAGCATACGCCAGCTTCTCGCCTCCAAAGGAGGTGTAGCCAGCGCCTCTTTCACAAAGTTCACCTTCTCCAACCAGCCTGGTTTCACTGAGAGCCGCGATGTCAATGTTATATCTCGCAAGTTCGCTTGCGATCAGTGCTGTGCGTCTCTTGGGTCTGTCTGTAGTGTCTCTGTCGAGAAGGTGCGAACGTTCCACAACCCAAGGTACAGTGGGATGATCCTTGTTTTCTTTTTGTTCTCTTTGTTATTTCGATCGCGTGTGTAGGGTCCCCACTAGCCGCGGTAAACTGGCTAGGGAAGGGTAGAGCAGGCAATGTTTGGGATACCTTTTCTAATCCGCTCCTCTTGCCATGGAGGTGAGCAGTGTGTTCCTTAAGGGCTGCTCAGTCGCACAGGTGGCTGCCGAACTCCAACGCTGCTCCGGTCGGCGAAGAGCGACCCTATAGCCTGTGCCGCCTGTGTGCAGATCCGCGACTAGCGACTTCCAGTATACGTGTACCCGCACCTGTCACTTTCATTGCTCGCCTGTTGCCACAAGGCTTTGGGTTGGATGATAGAAGGGATGGAAGATGATCAATGACTTGCGCAATGAGTTTGATTAAAGTGAGGAAGGGTTGCGCGTCGCCAACCTCACTCTCTCGTCCGCAACCATCTAGAACCAGTGCCAAGACAAATGTCAGGACGTCTGGAGATGGAGAAGATGCAGTGGATGACCAAGACGTGCTATATGTGCCTTGCCTTGCTCCAAACATTCCACGGTGCTTGCTGTGTCCGCCTTTTTCTCCGTTGAACCATGACGCTTTGTGTAGAGAGTGTTCTCTTAGAGGGATCTCCCTTAAGAGGGTACGTGTTTCCTCTACCCGGACTAGTGGAGGGAAGGGGCGTCCGGCCATTGCAGGTCGTGAGACACTGCCCACTGCCATCAAATAAGTACATATTATATTACTTAAAAATTGAATTAAATTTCTGGTGAAGTATAAAAAAAATCAATATTTTACAAGTACTCAGTACTTTAAAATATTATACAAATCTACAACTTTTTAATCATTTTTGTTTAATAAAGATCAAGGTAGATTATCAAAATCTAATTTTTGATTTGAGTCTATATATTCTCGGTTTGTCTTATATCCTGGTTATCTATAAATTATGCATGGAAATATGAAAACCCTAGCATCCATCAATCAAAATCGAGTAAGGGCAATGATCAAAGCTGGGTGAAATTTTACAAAAGTGGGCAAACTGCAAGGTCAATAGGTCAAGGAATATTTGCATGAAATATGGACAAGGTTAAAGTTTTTGCGTATACAAGGACTCTTTACTTTACGGTTACTTTAATGGCCAAGGTTAAAGTTCTGATTTTTTGGGGGGTTAAAATTGGTCAAACACCAAGATCAAAATCAGTAAATCAAATTTGGTGGTACCCAAAGAAAGGTCTTGTCACGAGGAATACTCCTCAAAGAAATAGAATGGAGTATGCTTGAGTAAAAGCATTTGGTACTGTAAGAAATTGGAATCAACCTACCCCAACCCTCATCCCCGAAACAGGATTCTCGACTTTGGACAGT